TGAGTTTATCAAAGAAAACTAACTTCTTTCTGGTACAATAATACTTATCGATCAAAAGCATCAAATATTCTTTTTGTGTTTCAATATATTTTATTTTAGTGTTTATTTAAAGGAAAAAAAATGAACAAATTTATTTAATGAAAATTAAAATTGATTATAATTTGGTTTGGAATTTATATGTTGCAATAAAGTTGGAAAAGTGCATGTAACTGCAGTCTTTTGTATCGAAAAATTGAAGAAACTTCTTTGTTAGGTCGCGATAACTTTTTCCCCGAATCATAGAATATTTTTTGCCTGATATTATACTAATAGCAGATGGTCTTAATGCACATGTTCATACATATTTCATGGGAAATTACGTGGCACAGCGAATCAATATTTGTCAAATAGATGTTTTGATCAACACATAAAATATAGTGTATGTACATATTATAGTATATTTTATAAAATCTGCAATCTCAGAATGCACGAATAATTTTATTATAACATATGAATCATAGGTATCTTTTAATAGATTAGTGGGTCAATGGTTTTATCACTAGACGTCGCGTCGGCGTGCACTAAAAAAGCTATATATATTTTTCGTCGTAAGCGCCTTTAAGCGCTTTTCATAATCAATAAAACTTGAAAGCAGTATTATGGATCGAGAAAGATTAAACGAGAGATGCTCAAACCTGACTGACTCTCTCTCTCTCAGAGCTCAATCGTCAAAACGCACGTATCATTTCAATCGTCCTTCGAATCTTCTTCATTTAAGCCTGCGCTAACGTATCCCGTTAGCGGGAAGTGGAGTAGATCGATAAATTTTAAGACAGTCCCGAGAAACGAGAGGAACATTCGCGATTTAAGTCTGTTCCAAGTCTTCATCTTTCATAATTTGATTTTTCTAAAACAGCCAAGTGTCCTTGAAATTTTGGACGAATTGCGGACGGGTGGGGGGAGGGGGGAGAGATCGCGTTAAATATCTTCCACAAAATTGGGATCACGCGTCTGATTTCTGCTGAACATTCTGCCTCACATGGAGCTAATTCACTCCTGGCTCTGAGCTGACTTCTCGCATCTTCGGTGGCAGCCCCCCCCCTTTTTTTCCGATCGGTTTGTCGCGTCGCATCGCGAGAAACGCTCGCAGGGGAGCTTCGCTCGCTTCGCCTCAGGGTCATCGGCTTGACCCCACGGTGGTTGCGCGTCCCGAGTCCGTGCATACGAGTAGCATCCACAAATTCTCTCATTGGCCACGAGCCAACGTGACTCACCGCCTCTAGAAAACCCCCGTAGTTTATGTACTTTGGTGTACGCTCGTCCGTTTCGCTTCAGTTCTGCGCGATCTTCACCGGCGAGCGGACAAGAAGCTTCGCTCTCCGCACGTGCGCTCGTCCGCGAGATTCGCCGTTTCGTTTTTCTTGTTCTTATTTGAGGCATCGCTCCGTGCCACCGGCAGAATCCTCTCAACGGAGAACCGTTCCGTGGATGAATATTTCCCGACAAGTCCGCTGGAGTAAGAGAGCAGCTAGTGGTTAAAAAATCGCCTGCCATGGAAGCGTTTAATAAGGGTAAGATTTTTTACGACGGCAGCGAAAATCGTTCGCGAATAAAATTCACGCAGCGCAACATCCCCAACGCGAAATTTCTTTATGGTATTAACTCTGTTTCATTACCGCTTTGTATGCTTTTTAAAATATAGATAAAATTGATTGTAATACGTTTGTAATTGACGTGTAATAATTATATTTCGTAAAAAGGCCGGAAATTAAGTTACCTAAACCGCTTTAGGGATAATTCGCTCTTTGTAGAGTTCAAATGATGCAGGTTCTCGAATCCATCACGCAGAACGCAAGGTTCTATATATAGAATTACGTAAAGTGAACGTAATACTGTTGAAAATGCGATATCGAGGTATTGAATTAAAAGTATTACTTCTCCCAATTTTTATAAGCTTCAAAAAGTTTTATAATAAAACTTGGTAACTCGGGGTATCGGGGAATAGACGATAATCCCCCTCAATCTTTTTATCGACGCGAAGACGGCTCCGAATTCTCCGTGGAGCGTTAAATCCCCGCATGCGTTGCACTCTGTGAGAAAGAGAGCGAGGAAAGCGCAGAAAACGCGGCTCGAACGAACTGGGAGATCTTCTCGCGTCTCGAAGATAGAAGAAGTCGATTCTCTTCCGCCGGTGAACGCCGCGATGCAAAGACGACGCGACGACAGCGAGAGGAAAAAACGGAAACTCGACGGTCACGGGACTTTCGGAGTGCCCGGGGTTTGCAAGGGAGATAGAGAAAGATCGATATAAGTAAGGGTAGCACATGCACGACGACGACGACGACGACGACGACGACGACGACGACGACGACGACAACGACGACGACGACGACGACGACGACGACGACGACGACGACGACGACGACGACGACGACGACGACGATGACGACGGCGACGGCGACGAGGCACACGCCGG